AACTCCGATCACTGGCCTTCACGTGTCTATTAGAAAAAATACTTTAGAAAAAATTAAGTTCTCGCTCAAAGCAAGCTAGTATCAGTAAAATGCCTATAAACGATTTAAAGTACCGCTCATATACCTGCTGTGGTGTTCCAACGTAAGAGAGCAACGTCGTCTGCGTCTGTTTCATTCAACGGACTATCCTTATACGGATGTCTGAACATTCAGTATCCAAGGAACACTAGATTTGAAATAAGTTACATTATAAGCGAGTTTAGTGCAGGGTGACTGAAAAGTAATCCCACCTCCTATGATCTGTTTCTTAACTACGAATTTAATAACCAATGAAAACGAGAAAAAACTGTATAGCGTGGAATTTTATTTAGAATCCGATAGGGACGCCATTTTCTCAAGCCGCCTAGGAGCCACATCAAAGAATTTCACTAGGAACTCTTTTAGAATCGAAAACATTACTTCTTGCATTCGCTTCTTAAATTTTTCCAAAGTCGCAGGTTTGATAGAGTAGACTTGCTTTCTTCATCAACTCCAAAGAAGAAAGTGATAAATTGATAAGGAAAGGATCCTGGCTGGTCACTCAAGCCTGTGACGACAATCCGTCCATCATTAAGAGAAGTTTACGAATAACCAAAGAAAAATATGTAGTGGCGCCATCTTGAATGAAAATTAAATCTTCAGCACTTTTCCACGTACGAAAAACTGCAACGGATCTCTCTCATAGAAGGACCTCTTGCCGGCTTCTCGTAAGGCAACGTGGCACATCCTCAGGGAGCGGATAGGGGGTTAATAGCGGAGCAGAAGCGACTTTGCTTTCCATAAACGCAGGTGTACCTAAAGGATCGGCACCATGTTTTTGCGGCATAAGTATGGCACACACACTCTGTATTTACGAGGACGTATTCATGTGTGATGGCGTGGGTGCGTTCTCGTTTATGCGGATTGTATTCTATGAGTCTATGCGATCAAAAGTCCGCAATCAAGTGACAGGAAAGTAAATGATAGGTGGTTAGGAGCAGACTCAAACAAATAAGCTAGCCTTCCTTCTGCTCTGGGAGGGGCTGGCAAGCTACACGTGAGTATACGCCGCCCCACGTTCAGGACTCAGCAAGTTATACGTAGGTAGCAAACGCTAAAGGCAGCAAAATAAGTGGACCTCATTCTCCTGACCGCGAAAGAGTCACCGATAAGGCAGCGTTGGGTAGGACGAGTACGGAGGGGCTCCTAAAATCCCAGAGCCATTCTAGGTTGCTTAAATCGCAAAGGACAGAGGTTACGATCTGTACCTACAATGCATGCTCGCTTGAATCTGAGGCTTCGATAGACGACTTGATCATACAGATAACAAGGATGAGGTACAACATCATCGAACTGGCTTAGAGGAGAACGCCATTCACTCAACGCCGTCTTTGACATCGGAGAAAAACTGTTGCTATGAATATAGGGCAATGAAGAAATCACCAGTGTCAGTGTTCTTGTCAGCAAGAGTTTGTCCACGAATATCGATTCACTCGAACAGCTGACAACCTGAATCGAGGGTTTACAGTTGAAGAAATGTGCATTATTACCGGCCGCGACAATCTTTATCTTCTAGGCACCAACATCGCCATAGCAAGTACGAAATCAAAGCGTTCTATAACAACTTGGAGGAGCTCTACAGAGAAGACGATATATTCCTTAAACTAATCATTGCTATTTTAACGCTAAGATCGACAGCAGAAAAACATCTGAGAAAGAAAAACATCACAATAATACCCAAGGATTAGAATGGGATGAATAAAGTGTGCGGCTGTCTAAATTTACTACGACGACCAAGACCGTTCATAATAGCTTGCAGTTCCATAAACCAAACTCTCAACATTAGTCGAAGAAATCTCCCAAGAGAGAGCACCATAACGAAATAGAACACATCCCAGTAAACCAAAGGTTTTGCTCAACCAGTGTCGCTACTGCTCCAAAATTCTAAACATGATCAGACCATCGTCTTATTAGCACTAAATGAAAGCAGGGCGGATAGAAAAGGGTGGGTTTTTCTCGATAAGCCATTGATCGTGATTATCATTCAGATTTCCACTTTTCTGTCTGAGCTGTTGAAGCGTTTGATCTAGTAAACTACGTATCAGTGTACCCTTACATGCTCTGAACAAAGAGATACTGCCGAAACGTCGCCTATCGCTGTGTTGTATGCGTTCTTTTTGTTCGGAAGTTAACGTCTGCTGTATAACATCCTCGTGACTGCTGAAACAGGAAACAAAAGATTGAAAGCTGAGAGTTTGAATGCCACCAAGAGACGCCGGTCTCCAGAAACTCTCGAGCTGATGCGCCAGCGTGGAATGGCACAAGCTGCAGGTAACAACGAACTAACGTCCGAACTTGCAAAGCAATGCAGACAGTCGATAAAAGATCTTAAAGAGAGAAGAGCAACAGTGATGGTCGAAGCTGCAGAGGCTGGGAAAATCATTCGCAAAGCCCACCGAAACGTTGCCAATTACAAAACCAAGATAATTTCACTCCGAGGTACAGACAGTTCAAACATCCTGAAAGGCAATGGAGAAAAAATTCACGAGCACTACTTGGATTTTTTCAATAGACATGTCCTCCTTTCCTTATACGAAATAAAGGAGGATGGATATGTCGTTCCATCTGTTCTCTCTTTCGAAATTCCACATGCCATTTCGTCGGTGAAGGATCGAACAACACCAGATGAGGACAGGATAAGATGTCAACGCCCGAAGAATTTTCCGCCAATCCTCATCAACACAATGGTACGGCCGTTTACACCGTACCTGCCACAACGGATTTCGGAAAGGTGACTTCCATGATTCCAGCAACTATTGCTCAATCTGATTGTTCTCTGTCGTCTATAAACTCTTCACTTAAGTCGTCTGAAATCGGATTGGCAGAAAACTGGACATTGGTATGGGATAACAAGGGAGTGAAAATCGATGGTCGGCAATTACACCATATTCGCTTTACTGATGACATCGTTCTTATAACACCAAACATTAGCTAAGCGGAACGATTGCTTGCCGACTTTGATAAAGCCTATAGAAAGATTGGTCTTCTAATAGATCTCGCGAAAACGTGGTTCATGAAGAACGGATTGGTTTTGTATGTTCCATTCACGCTCAGCGGTACAGATATCTCCAAATAGTTTAGTTATGTCTATCTAGAACGCCAAATCAGCATGATGAACGAATTAGCCACAGAAATGAGCAGAAGGAAACCAGCGGCTTGGTGAGCTTTCGAGAGCATACGGGATGTAGTGAAGAGGACAAAGAGCACCAGACTCCGTGCCCACCTTTTCGACTCAACGATACTTCCTGCATTAAAGTATGCTTCAAAACCTGGTTGCTGCGTAAGCAAGATGAAAAATCAGTGTTATTGAACCCATAGTCGAAAGCACGATGCTAGGTGCATCGCGTATCACACAATTGAGAAAAATCCGAAGAAATCCGAGGCTCCCACCCACGTCGACTATAAAGAATCAAAGATGCCGTTGCATACGCCAAATTGTCGAAAATAAGAGAGCAGGAAACATAATGCGTGTGAACTATAACCGATGGATAAGAGCCATTAGCCACTCGCCACTCGATATCCTTATACGAATGCATAGCAGAAAGACCAGGGTCAGAGTTCTTTACGAACGCCATATGAGAAGGATATGATGCCCAATAAGTCCTTAGAGCGAGAAGAACCTAATAGACTACTCCTGCTCGCGTCAAGGGAACTGGAAAATTTGTTACCATCCTTTCGAGTCAATCGACGATCAATGGGACGGCAGGTGAACTGGTGAGGTGACACTGGTAACTAGCGAGTTGTCTCCTTGCAGCATGGTGAGAACTTTTCGGCATTCATGGTGTCACGAGGGATGAAGGACCTACAATCCTGTCTGAAGTTATTCCATCCAGCGCTGTTATCTTGGGCAGTTTCTGCACTTTTTGAAAGGTGGAACAAGGGTTCTGACCAGTCTGCTAGTAGCAGTTGTGGTGGTTTATTGCGTTATGAGTAAACATTTCTTAAACACCTGGCACTACCTTCGGGTCGGCTGGAGGGGTGCCCGTTTCTTCGAGTACCAGTTTCAGCCTAAAAACCTGGATTTCGCATGACAATTTTTGAGCGCCTTTGTGTCAACGCGAGTCGCACTTGAACAACGGTTCCTCCAACCTCGCAACGCGCTACTAGCTGGGCACGCTTTTGCAGGAGAAGATGGCCGACCTTGTTTGGGATTCCAAATTTCGAATAAAATAATCGATCCGAAAGGAAAGCGACAACGCCGGAACAGACACGAAAAAGTTTGAGAAAAAGATTGTTACTTTTAAATCGTATTTTGTGAATAGTAATCTATCCATGAAGGAACAGTGATGATAAGCAATAAGTAAACAAAGAATAATTGAGTGGTACCTTCTCATTTCATCAATAATGTCTATTGGCCCGAAAAATTCTTTCGCTTCTCGGGGAGGTCCAATGAAAGGGGCAGCATTTTGAGAAATATCGGGTATTTCGAAGCCATGGAATTCCTTTGAGGGCAGCGAAGACTCGTGTAGTGCATCTATCTCCTGGAAAAGTAACGAGACGGATCACATCTTGTGCGAAATTCGGAATCTCAAATGGTGATCCACCTGTGGTGGTTTGATGATATGCCTGAACGATGTTTCCGTGTCAGGAAAATGTTTTAGGTCATTGTCGCATACCGGCGGCTAAACTACAACAATTTTTCGAATAGACATATTTTGTGAACCATTTCAGAAAGATAACAAAATAGGGGACATATTGAAAACTTTGCTAAACTACTGATAATTACAAACTACTATCGACTACAGCTACATCAAGAAATTAATCGATACGCATTTAGTTCAGATCGAATCGATCGCCGTTTGTCTTTGTCAAGGTACTTCTACACTTTGTAGAAAGAAAAGACTTTAAGAGGCAGACAATTGGCAAAATAAGTGATCTATATAATAAATACTCCCTAGGCCTTCCAACCGCCTCATCGTGCCCTAGGTCTTCCTGGGTGTCGGGTTGTGATGTAAAGCGGGGAGATTCGTCTGCCCGGCAGTGTCTCCCAAGCTGAGAAAGAGTTTGAAATTTCCATCAAATATCCCAACTAAGAGTGAGTAGACCAGTACCAGGGTCCGCTGCCGTCCTAGTATTAAACTAGTCGCATCGTGGCAAACCTCCTTCTGATCCACAAAAGCCGGCGAATGCCTTTTGTGGTGAAGACCTGGTACAGACTTTGGCCAGGTTGACCTGAAACTCCAGAGCACTACGATGGCCACTCAAGCAAAACTCCGAAAAAACGGAAATTGTGCTAGGGCCCAGACAACCAGTGAAGACGGGCCATCTAACTAACTAAGTAAGAATAAATACCCTGCTTACATGTGTACTGCTGTAATATTCTACACCTTAAGAAGCTTCTAGGCCTTCATTCACTGTGAAAAACTTTTGAACAACTTCACTTCATTATCCTCACGGCTTCTTCCTCTCGTCTCATGCTTCCACAGAAAACAACTGGACAGTTCTTTGGGCACGCAGGATTTACGAAGAAATGCGGAAGATCGAGGAGCATTATGTTTACTACCAAATGGATGCGGTTTCGTTACAATTATCAAAATGATAGACTACATGATCACGATGTGCCAGATTTCGACACAAGTTCCGCTCAGAAATCATCATCAAGTAATGCACCAAATATAAACTTCCATGTGGGTCGTAGCGAAACTCTACCTTCTACGGAAGGTTTGAGTTTTTGCTCTACTTTTCTGACGACAGCAAAGAAAATCGGATAAAATCGTCACTATGCTTGGGCATTTTCTATTCGGAGCTTATTGTATAGTTTTCGAGCCTCTATCACATAAAAATTACTAATATACCGTCACTCCATCACAGCCGCCGTCGTGTCTATAGCACAATTGCACAGTACATGTAAAATAAATTTGTACCTAAACAATGCATGAAAAAAGAAAAAACTGGAAGTGACAGATGAAAACTGTTGGGAGTGCGTCCAACCTTGTCAGCGTACTTGAAGACAGGAGCGTCGGTGAACGCTGAAAGGCTGTGTGGATCGTATTCGATCTGCGGCAACAGATACGAGTCTTTCGAACATCTACAAGTGAACTTACCCGTTCCCTTATCTAGATAGCTAGATTGTGAACTGCTACACCGACTAACTGAAAGTTTTCTTCCTACGTTTTATTCTTTTTAGAGCACTATTTTCCAATTGGAAAATTTCCTCATTTGGAACCTACATTGCATGCCAAAATTTCTCATCCGTGTTGTTATAGTGATGAATATCATATTTTTCCATCAGAGAAAAGCTTCTATGTGCCAGAGTGTTTATGAACTGACTTGTATCAACTTTAAAAGACGTACCCTCTGTCGTCGACCAACTCGAACTGATTTCCTTGTCCATCGTCTACCAAGCAACTGTGAATCAGCATACCGTAGATGTAGTTCGAACCTAATATTTTTTAATATTAAGTTGACCCAGATAGAAAGGATTAGATCAAAAACATCTCAACATCTACAGCTTAAAAGCGTACTAATTGTTGTGTCGCTTTTTGCAATCGCCAACGATTTAGGTCCAACTCTATACAACGTCGATTGAATTTCCTACGTTGGCGAAAACACTATGTGACCGAAAATCCTTCTTGGTTTATAACCCATCAAATCTGATCTAGAAACGCTGAGAAAACTTCGTAAACCTAAGGCATTGCTAAATATGAGCTCGACGGTTAACTAATGACCAACTGCTTGAACCTCTTACCATCCTCACATATCCATCGATGAGTCACACGTTGTCCCACCTGCAACATCTCGTCATCATCCTTTTTCGCTAGGAATTGTAAACATTAGGGAGAATCGTTATACGTATTAAACTGATTTCTCGAAAAAAAAAAACGTCACAAGTAAACTTGGCATATCACGCTATCACGATTCTTTCTAAAAACTAGCTGATTCTTTATGAAACATTCCTACGAATTCGTACGAATCACTAACGGGAAAGTAGGAGGGGGCATCGTCAATTACGAATAAACGTATTAATGTAAAACAACTCTGCCTTATTAAACAATCAGTTGTTTTCAATACCGACGTTTCATTTTCATAATGCTAACTAACCAAAAAGAGTAACAAACTCTGGATTATACTGACCTCCGCGTACTGAACTGATGGTCCGTTGACGCCATCGCGTAGCTGATAAAGGCACTCTGGCAATTTCAGCTCACGTTCAACAAGTTCGGTTCTCAATCTTCTAAAAGCAAATCACAATTGTGAGTAAAAGCTTTGTTGTGGCATGTCATTTCTGTACTTGGTCACTACCAAGGATAGCAGCAGCAATATGCTGGGTAGTTACTAACCTTAGCATGATACCGTAGCTTTACTCGGCCAACAAATAGTCTTCTTTTTTATTTATCACCCACCCTACGTCAAATCCGGCATTCAGGCTCTTCACTGACTCAAGGAAAAAGCATTGTATATGGAAGGCGCGATCGATACCCACAACGAAAAACTGCAAAATACATTGATAATCTCGGAACAACTTGCCCGGAGAAGCAAACAACAAACGAATTTATTATTTAAACTATGAGAGAATTCGCCTTGAGGTCGGTCTACCTTTATTGCACTATCTTCCACACTTTTTTATCTTTGAAGATCGTTATCGATAAAGGGAAGAACACTTACCGGATGAAAAGATACAACGAGGGTGAATGAAAAAGAGACACCACGTGGTTGCATCTGAAGGATTCATAAAAAATAAGTCATCTACAATCTCATGTAAGTCTTGACCAGTTCCACCCTCCACTTCATTCTCCGCTCAGTAAATACTTTCCCAAGATGTTTTCTACGAAATAATTCGGGGAAAAAGTAGCACCGTTCTCTGTCTTCTCATATTGCAAGCACCAATAGGAAGCTCGAAGTGAGCATGCTCTGAGTAAGGATCTTGTGCTTCCTGAAAGCAGCGCTCATTGTAGGATTCTCCTTGCACGTAGAGTCGACCTGAAAAGGCCTCTACAGATATGAACTACTGGAACTATTAAGATGCTGACGAAAACACAGATTAGTTTATTTTGACAGCGTGGAACAAAGTTTAAAACCACATGTGGCGATAATGTGTCATCGGATGAGTGTAGCGCAGTGATTAGACGTGCCCTGCAACATACACTGGATCCGTCGCTGGTTCGACACCACAGACCGATTTCACCAAGCTATCCATCACTCCGGGACCAGCAAATTGGTAGCAATTGAACTTGGTGGCAAATTTGCCTGGAGGTTGATAGCAGCGCTGACTCCATGCACCTGTAGGCCACCGCAAGTCACTGTGCAGGGCTTGACATGCATTCACTACCACTTACGATGTTCCAAATGAAAATGGATGAGTAGCGCATCCGTCAGGGATAGATTAACGCGGAATGCCATTAGTCAACATATTTGTATGTGGAGCACTTCGTGAATAAGAATTAAATTTTATTCCATATCATATGGTCGCTTCGCTATAGATGTTACTAGTAGCTTTTTGAAAGACTAAATAAAAAAGAACCATTGCAGCTTTGCTAAATGATATATGTGACAACAACCTGGTGTTACAAACTGATTCGATCTTTGCACACGTTCCTGAGCTCACCTCTATTTGGGATAAACATGAGTTAATTTAGAAGAAAACTTTTAAAGAGTGAAGCGCAAAATATCATTTTCGATTTTCTACGTGTCGAACTGCAAACTAAACGAAGAGGTAGCAATTATTTTTCAGATCGAGAATGACAAGCACGTGCCTGTAGTGCGAACCTCGTGAAACTCTTGCACAGCTACCTGTGACATATTGGTCTACTGGCAATTTAGCGCTCAAATGAAGCTAGCATTCACACCATTTTTCACGAAGTCAAGATACTTGGCATAGTCAAGTACTTAAGGTTGGGTGAAAGAGATTTGGAAGAGAAAAATCTGTGATGAAGCAACGAAGGGATAGAAATCAAATTTCTCGATATGTTTAGCCCATAGGATGTTGACTCATCGCTGGCCAACATACGCTCTGACCTTTCTCAAAGATGAAAAACCAACATAAAAATGCCCAGGGACAAGAAATATTAACAGGCCGTGAGTAAACCGACTCAACGTCACATAAGCCGGTACGAGAGAACCTTTCGCACTGTTTTTTATTCTTAAATTGGATGGCGTTACGAGCCTCCACATGGAGGGTTTGGTCTTAGAACCAAAAAAATTGCAGAAATCGCCACCCTAGTTGCCTAACAAATAACGCCTGGAGCTGAATTTTCGACAAGTGACTGTGTCGTTCAGTAAACCATCCGAGGGCTTGAGAATTACAAAGGTTGATAGAATAGGCTTCTTTTCTACTGCATTAATCATGGATAGAAATTTTGGTAAGTATTCTTTTAGTTTTAAATATGTTTAGAATTAAAAATCTTTAAAAAATGTGAAAGAAGTCCAGAGACTTAAGATTTCCACCGCAAGAGCAGCAGACATGGACATCAACGGTGTAGTGAAGAACAGCATTGTGTCCCGCTGCACGAGATCTACAATGTTCAATTACTTTCACGTTTGGAATATGAACCTTGGCGGGAGGAGGTGGAAAAAGCACTTTTAATTGGCTCCAAAAAGCCATAATTTCACCTTGGTATAAAAGTTGAACTTGTACCTTGTCGGCAGATTTGTGGATTCTAACGGTTTTTATTTAAATAAATAAAATTCAGCATTAAGTGAGATACACTACTTTATGTTTGAAACTAATCACTATCTTTTCATCAAATGCATTGAGCCGTGCACACCAATTAAGTGTTACTAGCTAATGGGATCACGGTTAACACAGGTATAAATAAAATAAAAGCTCTCGGCGTTGATCAATTCCTGAGAGACGCGCCATGCATTCGACTTCATTAGGTATCGTTGGAGGTGATTGAATGCATGTCTGGCCTTTACAATGACTCGCGGTAGACAAATCTGGCACCATTTTGGCGACCCCGGATGGACGGAGGGCTTGGTGGACCGTGTGCGAGGATCGACTCAACGTTTGTGTCGCAGTGGCGCCTCCAACTACACCCTAACACAGATGTCTCTTAATGGACGAGTTGCTTCCCTAATAGTTTTCCATCGGCGGTTTTGCCTTTGAACTGTAAACAATTCTTTCTGATTTCTCAAGTGCTAAACAACCTTTATATGGCTTCTCGGTGGTAATATCGACGGCGATTTTGTCAACTCCACAGTGCACTTTTGGTCCTTCGATTACTCCGTTGTCGATGTCGAAGCATTCTGAAGCTGTCGCCCACTACAACACTTACGAATAACAAGCAGAAGAAAATTACGTCTTATCCTCATAAAAGTACACTAGAACGTAACTCTTTTGATTAGGCGGCCGTAGGCCAACATTCTATAGTTGCCCTATCACGCTCAATGCCAGTATTTTTGATCTAGTATAGATTTACAACGCGATCTTTGTCAATTGGTTACGGTAACACAGTGAAGTGGGAGAGAGAGAGAATACGGTAATTTTCCATGAAAATATTTTTCTTCACTGCAGTGAGAATTGCACCGGGGTTCTCGATTTTAGCAGACAAATGAAAAACGTCTCGAAATTGTTCTTTAAACTAATCACAAAGAAATCCACTGTTTTAAAGAATACACAGAGATGAAGTGAATAAGTTAATGATTTTATTCAAAACATGCATCTATAGTATCCATTATGAGACGAACCTAAAGACAATTAGAACCATATTTAAAAACTCCACATCTCTAGATGCTATACTATCTGCACTTTGAAACAGATGAATAGACAGGACGACCCGTAGCAAAATATGCAATGATAAATCAACAGTGGATAAAGTGTGATAGTAGAACAGTGACGTACCAGTACTGCTAATAGTGTGACGAGCTTCATAGCGTAGTCAATACACAGGAGTAGCTTTCTATTGGTGATTATATAGCAAATATTAGGTCGTTAGGGTTTTTGTGACGACTGCTTTCGATGAGACCGGATGTGTTGCGATATCATTGAGTCATCCAGATGCACAAAAATGCTAACTGGCGACGGAAATCGGCGTCCGTTGCAGGATCTCTGATATGAGGATGTGGTAGTCGAAATCACTTCGTCTATCATACCGCGCTCGTTAGTGATTGTGAACGAATGTTGTGTAGCGAACGATTCAGTGGGATAATCACGATCACCATTCCGCTCAGCTTTTTCATCTGCGTCCCATACCGTTTTCACTGAGGTATCCGGTACCGGCGTGGTTTGTCGCCGTCAGAGCCACAATGATTGTTCTTTTTCTAGTGAGGAGAATCTCTCAGAATTCTTCTTACTATGGGAACGCAACTCTCACTTCAAACTGGAAGCCTGCTAGAATATAGCACTGACTAATCAATACGACAGCTTCCGTTCATGAAATATTCATAGCTAGTTACTGTAGCGGAATGGTATGACTTCAAACATATTCTGATGTTTACTTACGTTTATTGTTCTTGTCATTGTTATGCTTTCGAAACTTTAATATTATACTATATTAATATTATTAATGTTTAAAACCGCTTCAAATTCGCGGCTCCGGAATCGGTCCAGAAAAACATTCTTTGCACTACCTGAAGATTTCTTCAGCCTTGACACTATTCATCTACAGGGCGTTTTTGCCTCCCTTCACTACGGAAACGTTGGATGGTCCCACTGGTAACAGCACAGCTCTGAGGAAGGCGAAATCGCCGAAATCTCAGCCATCGAGCAACAATAGCGACCACAGCAACAGCAACAACAACAACAACTTATACCAACCTTGCATCAGCTCAACAAGTGCAGTTCGTAAGAACATATATATAAATAGATTGAGACATTCATTTCTCTTCTAGAATCCTATAGCTTTCTACACTTACAATAAAAAAGAGTTACCTACCAATAGAGCAAATAAAATTTTGCAAGAATATGGGAAATCATAATGTGTAGTCAACGCCTACGAACACCTGTTCATACTTCCATAGACAAACTGTATTCATTTGGAGACGTACGCAGTCGAAAAGTACATAGTAAGGCTTCGCATTAGCCCATAAATTGTGTAATCATGGCCAGTTTTTCAATGCGTTCTACCACTTCAAAGTTGTTCGTTGATGAAAAATCGTAGCCACAATCTTACTTTTAAGCCATCGACGTAAGAACAATACACGTCTGGTGCAGTAAATGAGTTTTCCAGCTCACAAAATGGCCTGTTCTAGTTATGGACTTCTCGATGTCACAAAAACCCCTCTTTTAGTGTTCAGAACTGCACGTGCTGTTTTTACAGCAGAATCTAGTGAAGACGACTCGCAAGCCTTGCAATCAATTCCGAACATGAAGCTCGAATATTTGAGAATACCATCTATTCGTTATACATAGGGGACGTATCCAAGACGAAACTACTGAGAAAAGAGGGCTAGAGATGGGAAAGAGAATACACCAAATGGATACTTTGGAAGCAAAATTGTATGAAGTAAAGACAAAAACTATATAGCTGGATGTGGTCGTCAACCACTTGTATTCAGCTCGGTTGTTTTCAAACAGTGAAATAAATGATGAAGCTCTCGGCGTTGATCAATCTCTGAGGGATGCACCATGCATTCTACTTCATTATGCATCGTTTAGAGGTGATTGAATGCATATCTGGCCTATAGTCGCTATGGTCTACCGATGTACAAGTCAGTGCTGCTATCCTCCCAGACAGATCTGGTATTAATTTGTCCAACTTTGAGTTAGGGGAAACCTTGGTGAGCTCAGAGCTCGAGATCGAACCATTACCATGCTTGGGCTATGATCAACATGTCTACCACTGTGCTATCCATCCTCTTTTTACTGCTGATACCGATTGAAAGATGCTTCTTGCAAGCAGAAACAGATGCATCACTATTTCAGCGAATAGAATATACACGTCTGAAGAACGGTTACGATTTCGCTACTGTTTGAGGTAAAATGTACTTTGTATTGCAGTAATAGCCTGTTTTGGTTAGGTCGCTCTTCGGGGTCAATAGATGTAGAAGACCGAGGCATCGAATATTATAAAAGGATAATGCTCTCGGCGTTGACGAATCCCTAAGGGACGAACCACGCATTCAATTTCAGTAAGCACCGTTGGATGTGATTGAATGCATGTCTGGTCTTTACAATGACTCGCAGTGGCCTACCGATGTATTGAGACGGTGCCGCTATCCTGCCAGACAAGTCTGGTACCAATTTGCCGACCTCGGAGGGATGGAAGGCTTGTGGGCCAAGGGCGCGGAAATCGATCCCATGTGTATTGTAGGGCACCTCCGACCACTGTACCACAAGCGCTCTAGGAAAACATTAGGATGTTTCATTTCCTTCAAATTGAATTCGTGAAAAAAATAGTGGTTTATTAAGCACAAATCGTTCATTGTAAGAAATGTTGGAAGACTATAAGCGTAAAGTCATCTGTGACCGCGCCAACACGTAAGCGAAATGCATTTCTGGAAATGTGACGACGTCATTAATTCCGCGCTCCATCGTAATATTGGTGCTCTGGCACGAAACGTGTTCATTCGTGGTGAAGCTGTGGAAGCGATTTCGGGTCTGCTTAATGGATATCTGGAGAAACTTTATCCCCTATTGTGTGATTGTGGTACAGCCTTCGATTCTGAGGTGTTTTGGTTTTCCAACAGATTTGCTTTGTATTTGCTATAATGAATTAATTTGTTTTAAAATCAAGAATAGATGAAATGTATTCGTTCGTGCTTTCTTACGTTTGTATTCTTTCCAAGATTTCATCCAGCGTGTTTTTTGAGTGGAACAACCTCTAAGGATGTAATGAGCCTTCTCAAGCCACGTGTCGGTTTTTCAGAATTTCCTCGTTTTCTATTTTTTCACTTCTTATGCGTGCGCTTTACTCTGTGCTAATTATGGTTTATGGTAGAAATTCACCGTGTATTTCGTGGCATACTTTCATTCCAAAAGATCGAGTTTTTTTAGAAAGGCACGTGTCGCGAAGTGGTCGGAGGCGCCCTGCAGCACACACGTGAAATTGATCCTCGCGCCCTTGGCCCACCAAGCCTTCCATCCCTCCGGGTCGGCAAATTGGTACCAGACTTGTCTGGGAGGATGGCAGCACTGGCTCGATACATCGGTAGGCCACCACGAGTCACTGTATAGGTCAGATATGCATTCAGTCACCTCCAAACAATGCTTAGTGAAGTTACATGCATGGTGCATCCACCAGGGACTGATCAACGCCTAGAGCCTTATACTTTTTTTTGGTTTGCTTCCACACACTTACTGACTTCTTTCCTGCTCGTCTTTCCACGGACTCTCACTGATTTGTTCTTCTAAACTTTCAGATCTTCTAGATAGTGAAAATGGCGGAGTACGACTTGACAAAGCGAATGGCTCCATTCTTTGATCTTCATCTAATCATTCCTCTACTGGAATTCATCGAGCCCAGGAAGGTGAGTTGTGACATTGTTTACATTGCAACTTAGTTAGCTATGTTACTGCTCTAGCATTTCTATGCGTTTTAAAATGCTGGTACTATAAAGGCAATTTATTGAGTGATGTTAGACCTTTATGAATGCGTCGTTTTCTTGTTCAGCAATCGCGAGGTTTTTAAACAGCATACATTTACTTAGCACTAGCTGACGTTTCGGCAGTATCGCCTTCTGGTTGACTGAGTAATCAACTATATGCGACTATAATCAGCTGTTCTAAAGTTCCTCATTGGAAGCCACGAAAAAAGCGGCTCTGAAGAAGGCGATACTGCCCAAACGTCAGCTAGTGTTGTATTGTATTGTTTCTCTATGGAAGTAAATGTATGCTGTTTAAAAACCTCGCAATTGCTGAAGAAGAAAATGACGCATTCATATTCCAATGCCGAGGTTAATAGGAAGTCGATCTTGGAAACTGTTAGACCTTTGTTACTTCAATTTGCATATTTCTTTAAAACGCATGTAATTCACTAACATACTTACTTGCTTGTATACTTGGATGTCATGTCTTCACTAGTAGTACAGGCTGCAGCATGATTTCCATCTTTTCGGAGTTTTGCTGGTTTAGCCATTCTGGTTCCTTGGATTCACGAGTTCAACCTAGCCTAAGTCTACTCTGCTCCAGATCGTCACCACCGTAAGCAGTCGCCGCCATTGTGGAGCGGAGGGAGATTTGCCACCATGCGGCTAGTTCGATACCAGAACGGTGGTGGCTCCTGGTATTGGTTTATTCTTAGCTGGGTTTTATGATGGAAACGCTATTCGCCAGCGCCATGAAAATTTACCAACATATTGCTGTTTAGTTGCAGTTTAAGAAAGAATATTTTATGACAACTTTTGTGATTTTTACCTTATGTTCTGTTGATTCTTTGTCAGATATATGATGACGCATCTTTGGTGGAAATGCATCGCCACGTGCTAATGAAGACGAATATGATCGATAGCTTAACCGAAACGTACCAGGGAGCGCCGATTCCAAAGGAGCTTGAGACGAAGAGAGCCGAAGTTCTCAAGGAGAGAGATATTTTGAAGACTAAGGTACACATTGCTTGAATCACAATTTCAGGTTCTGATATGAGGTTTTTTTGAAAAGCATTTGTATAGGTCGATCCTGTAATTGAAATTCTTGAACTTGATGATGTAAAGGAACTAATGGAGAACACACGTGATCGCGATGGAAACAACAAAATACTGGAGTTTCTTCAGCAGAATCATCATGTACTTCCCATAAATCCCAAGTTGTTAGTTCTAGTGATCTTTTCTATTTATTTCAGTTCACTATTGATATGGTTGACGCTCTCTTCAAATACGCAAAATTTATGTACGAGTGTGGCAACTACACTGCTGCGTCGGTTAGTTCGATTCAAGCCTATATTTTATTTCATTAATGAGTACTTGAACTTCATTATTTCATCAATAAGAATTTCATTAGTAAGTTTCAAAACTTCTCCGTTGCATCACTTAGAGTCTAGACCTCAGTGTTCCTGTACTTCTTTATCTTTCACAAAATGCCGACATGGTATTTTAATCAGTACGAATCTCTTGTCCAATTTCTCGTGATTCTCCTTTTTTATTCCTATTCACGTGGCGCGTGTGGCGCAGAGGTCGAAGGCGCTCTGCAGTACATTTGGAATCGATTCCCGCGCCTCTAGCCCAGCAAAGCCTCCATCCTTCCAGGATTTCCAGTTCGGTGCCAGACTTTTTTTGGAGGATAGCAGCACTGGCTCAATACATCGGTACGCCACCGCGATTCAGGCCAGATATGCATTCAATCTCCTTCAAACGATGCTTAATGAACTCCAATGCATGGCGTATCCCTAAGGGATTGATCAATGTTGAGAGCTTTATCCTTTTATCCTTTTTGGATCTATTTACAGCTGTCGGTCTAATCCATGGGAATTATTTTCTCAAGGCGGGAAATTACCAGTAATGAACATGGGAGTCCCCATAAGGTTTTTCGTGCCTTATTTTTCCAAGAGACAGATCACTGAAATTGGATAAAAGTCCAGGTTCACTACAAAATGGGAAGGAAATTCAGTCTTTGTGCAAAAGTAAGCTATCTGTGTACAATGATCCATCTTCTTGAGGCGCTAACCAGGTCTGAGTAGCGCGATGAAAGCATGGATCGAAGGCAAAACAAGGAAATTGTGTTAGAAACTTTCCAAATTTGTGTCATCCAAGCCTTTGCGTAGCTTAAAGACAATCTCTGAGTACAGTTGCTAGTAAAAAGCGTTTAAGAATGCGTTTGCGTTTGCTACGAGCAGAATGGCAGTGTAGAAAAGTGTCCATCGACCCAAATAAATGAGGTTTTTCATACAAGCGCAACAAAAAAAAGTGTAGGACAATGTCATAGAAAGAAAGAACAATGTCATATCTGTACGAGTACAGTATTGTGCTTTTTGTTTTATTGGTTAAACAGAGGCCAGCTACAGCTAACCATGGTGTGGTGGAATTTATAGCAAAAAACTCCTTTATAAATCTTTCAATCCGAATACCTATATTAGTCTTGTCACTCTTGCTGGAAGAATGCCACCAAACATTCTTTCTACAAAAGTTTGAGCCGTAATTGGAACCCTGAATTCTAGTATAGCTTCTTGATCAAATAATCCGCTGATTTTCAAAGATCACGTTGGATAAATAATAAACAGTACATTACAACTATATGGCTTTTCATATCGTATCATAGAGACATAACCAATACTTACTGGATTCTGGGAACACTTTGCTGTGGATCAGTAAGGAATCTTAGTTTATGAAAAACATCAGGTGTATTAATGGATTTGATGAGCCGACACAGAGTTGTTAATGTTATATTTGTTTCATTGTTATACGATGGCTAAAATTATTACGTGGCAAGTGTTTAAGCAACAAATGAGAATTGGTATGCTATACGGGAAGAATGTTAGCATTGAATGTTTGTTCCGAAATCGTTTTGTAAAATTCCTACCAACGAAGTTGGTCGTTATTTTTTAATCAACCTAATGTGTTCTCCATGTTTTGAAATGTTTCTAACTGCTATTCGTGATAAAAAAAATCCGTCATTAACCCACGACGATGTCAGCTTTTGGTGGTTAGTTTTATAAGATATGTTGCATGGGCTTCAGTACTTTATATCTTCTTTATTCTTCTTTTATTCCCGTCCATGTTCGAGCACAGAGGAGTTGAGAAACTGTAATGTTCCGAAGAGGGGACGGATAACATAGTGGTAGTGATGTGGATCATCACGTGCATGGTGCTGACCCGATCCCGCCGCAGACCCATCAGACCCCCCATCCCCTCGGGGTGTGGAAATTGGTATACCGGACTTATCCTGGAAAAAATCACTTTCTGCAATCCAACTGGGAACTCTCCAGCCCGGCTAAAAAAATAATAGACCATCAGAATGAATATGGGTCAAAATCAGTTGAGAATATTTTGGACCAGTTTTATTGAAAAAAATATGTGCAGAGCAATATTTCAAGCGAGTTCTTTCGCGCTGTGGAAAAACTGCTGTCATTGGTTTGGGTACTACGACTTTCTGCTTTACTTCTGCATTGAAGTTCAACAATTAGGCACCCTTTATATCGTAACACAGCAGACCATTGAGGAGATTTGTCTAGATATAGCTGCGTTTTTTAATTTTTAAATGTATATTTATTAGCATGTACACGTATGGCGCAGTGGTTAGAGGCACCCTGCAACACACGCGTGGAATCGGCCCTCGCGCTCATGGCTCACCAAGCCTTCCTTCTCTCCGGGTTCGACGAATTGGTACCAGACTTGTCTGGGAGGATGGCAGTACTGGGTCGATACATCGGTAGGCCACCGCGAGTCATTGTAAAGGCCAGGCATTCAATCACCTCCACATGATGCTTAATGAAGTCGAAGGCATGGTGAATCCCTCAGGGATTGATCACCGGCGACAGCTTTATCTTTATTTTAGATTTATTATCAGAATAGTTATGTGTGTTAGACTAAGCGTTTACAAAGTGCGCGTCTATCAGTGTGCTGTACCTCTGGAAACACTAAATATTCTCATTAGTTACTCCTACAATCCTCCGTGCTCAAATTTATTTTACAATCAGAAACTTGCAATTTGACCTTTTCAGATAGGTTTTTGTCCATCAAATCTCACAGCCTTTAAACTCCAATCCTTATGGGTACTATTGGAACAATATAAAGGAAAATACTTATTTCACTGGCTACATCTAATATCGATCTGTTTCGCACGCTCTGAAGCAAATACAATCCTTCCCATAACAGACGACGCGAACACACTGTACCGACCTCTTAAACGTCATGGCTATTTGTAGGTGTAGGGCTACATAACATAAGGTGAACTAATGCACATTTGAATTCCTTGATTTCATTGACATGGGAAGGTTTTGGTTAAGGATCTACGGTATGGAATCAGTGAATATGAAAAGATATGTGAGAATTCCAACTTCCGATGGACGTGTTTTTCAATGTTTTTCATCAATAAGCAGACACGAGGTTGTTATTATAGAATTTATTAGAACACAATTGCTGACGTTTCGGCGGTTTCGCCTTCTTCAGAGCCTGGAAAGGTCAAATTGAGACGTGATCTACTCAGTCAAACACTTTCACAACCCTAGCAGATAAAACTTGACAAATCGATTTGCATTCGCATAAGAAACAGCTTCATTCAAACACCTACCGTTTATTTGTTGTAAGTGTTTAAGTCAGTTGGTGGATAGCCGCCTCACAGAGAATACATGGTCGATAACTGTGTCCATGTCAGGTCATTGGATCAGCCTGAGGCATGGCGCCAGGTCACGCATGATGACAAGACACTCCTTGCGGTTCATTTTTGAATTTTTGGCATTGATCCAAAACGCTTCAGGAGTTTTACGCGCTGATGTTTTCGATTCCTGCGTAAGGATAGTGACTCCTACCTCAACATCTCCGTTGTGTTCCTGCATCCTATGCGCGCCTAGTGGAGTATTTTGTTTTAGTTTAGATTTACCGACTAGGTGTTCTTTTGTGCGGACGCAGAGCGGTCTACCCGTTTCGCCAACATATTCGTGCCCGTACGCTTTACAAGAGATCAGATAGACTGTACCCGAACTCATGCAATCACCGTCTCTACCATTTGGGCAAATTATGCAGTTTTTTGTTGTACATAGACGGTCGTACAGGCGGTTGCGAACTAGCTGGCGTCTTAGAGTGTCCGGTGGTATTTCTATCACTCTTACGGAATTCTCTAGACCGGCCCTTATTAAGCAGCGTTTTATAGCCGCACTTATTTCGTTTGAAATAAAGGGCAACAGAAACGGAGCCTTGTTTTCACTAGAATCATCGCTCTGGGGCGTGGGATTTCCTCGATGCCTATCCTGAGAAGCTACAATTTCGTAACCATTTGAAATGGCTATTTGCCGTTCCAGTTTCGAGGATTCCTCCCTCTGCCATTTATTGGGTGTTCCATACTACCTTATCAAGACCCAAAAGTTAATATCTGCTGAAGATCTGGCGTCTACCAACCCCTCCACTTTTAAAGTGAGACCCATCATCAGTTGTGTAGACGGGCCTACAGATAGAATTGCTTGGTTTATAAACCTAATCCTCAACCAGTTGCTTAGGCACATACGAGCCCATCTCACGAACACCCAAATGTTCTTAGACCGTCTGCGTAACGCACGTCCCAAAAGCGCGTACGTTATGGAGTCGTTCGACGTTACCGCCCTTTACACTAACGTGTCGAACGACTCCGCAATGCAAGCCATCCGTGAGCTTCTTGAGAAACACGAAGGAGCAATTAACATGTATGGCTTTTCGATTCAGCAGCTTATGGTCTCCTTAAACGTCTGCTTAAACTGCTCGATCATCAGATGCTCCGGGAAATATTACGCACAAATTAGACGGTTGGCAATGGGACAGCGGCTGGCACCAACCCTTGCCGTAGCCTTTATGTCTAAAGTGGAAGGACCAGTAATCAATCTCACGCCATTACTCTACTGTAGGTATATAGATGATTGTTTTGTCATCTGCTCCACACAAGAGGAGATGGACAAATGCTTTAAGTTATTGAATGAACAGTCAGAGTACATAAAATTCACCCGTGAGAAACCGGAAGAAAACTGGCTTCCATTTCTAAACCTTCAAATTAACCTATCCGAGAACGGCTACAACACAAAATGGTATCGAAAGCCAAGCAGTAAGAATATAGTGGTTCACTACCGCTCCTCTCACCCCTCACACACTAAAAGAGCGCTTATAAGAAATATGTTTCGAACCGCCGCCAGCGTGTGCACAGGTAGGGAGCAGAGGGAAGAATCCTCGAAACTGGCGCGGCAAATAGCCATTTCAAATGGTTACATAGAGTTTGAGAACTATAAAAACTACTAAAGTAGTTGATAGATAAACCAAATTCTAGGTCAACGCAAACAAAACGGGGACATGGTGGTTTTTTTTTTGGTAACGGCATCCTACCACTAGTACAAATCACCCGTAAATTCATAATGTGACGGGCGAAAAATTAAGAGCCGTTATGAATGTGTCAAATACGTAAGGTTCTAGTGTTTTGGTACTAGTTTTTCGCATGGTTCTATGTGATAATCGTTTTGTACTTCTTCCTTTATGTTTTTAAGATCCAACGATTCAGTCTCACATTCCGAAACGGCTTTTTGCAAGTAAAGCTAGGAATTACCTATCCATGGACCAGCCTCAATGTGAAATCTGTGTTCTACAAGCCATCGATTGACTACAAAGCGTCTTGAAGGTGATATGCGATCAAAAATCAATGTATCTACGTGAAAATATTTAAAGAGAAGCAGTTTTGATATAACCTGTGTATTAAACAGTTGTTAGTTGGATGCTTGGATACTTGGACGACCCGTCCTCACTTGTGCGGTTCCTAGAATATTCTCCATTTTTTGGATTTTTGCTGTTTAGCCATTGTGTTTCCCTGGAGTCCCGAGGTCAGTTTGGCCGAAATTTGCTCCAGGTCGTCACCACCACAATGTAGCCGCCGCCCTTGTGGATCAGAAGGAGATTTGCCACCATGCGACTAGTTTGATATCAGGACGGTGGTGGATCCTGGTATGGGTTTACTCTTAGCTGGGCTTCCTGACGAAAACACCCGCCTGCCTCCTCTGCGTGGGACACTTTACCGCAGTGGGGGATGAATCCCTCCGCTGTACATCGCTGCCCGACACCCAGGAACACATACCTGCCAGGATGAGGCGGTAAATCGTTGGGAAGTTAAATAGTTGTTACAATACAAAAGGTGCAACTTGCAAAATTTCACTACCGTGGTCTTTTTGGCGTGGTAGGCTTGCATCGGACGAGATGTCATTGGAGTACACCTAAGGTGCGTGTTGAAATCAAGATCTATGGTCCGAAATGTACAGCAGCGTGCATATTGAAATCAATGCGCGTAGTAGTGATAGGACTACGCTTTCTTCAACATCTTTTTTTTCCCAGGGACTGTTCGTTATTTCGAATTCTTGTTCTCGTAACATTCGAGTGATGTACATCATAGTCAGTGCCGTCTTCTTTTTTCCAAAGCTCCTTGCATACTATTTATAACCTTTACAACGTCGAATTTCTATGGCACTCTACCTTTATTGTCACTGTTTGCAATCCTTACGCCCTCAAATTTCTATAAGCAACACTGTTTCCAAGTAACCTGCACACATTATAGGTGGCAGTCTTTAAACTTTACACATTCTCTACGCAATTTACAATATCTACAACCTTGGATTTCTTTAATTGGCAATACTAATGGCATTGATTAGATTCTGAAGTCATTCCCGTTGAGGAATTCTATAAGTATTTTGATTTCGTACAATCTGGTTTATCATCATCGTAAAAAATCTTTCTTTTGCTCTCACTTGCGCTCCGTGACACGCTAGGTCCTCGACGAAGGGTCGACCAAGGTTCAGCTACTGGCATTGGCATGATTCAACTTTGTAAATCTCAAAATCCGAGAAGTGTTATTGATTCTTTTTTACACTGCATTTACAATGATCAGTCACAGCGGGGGTTTATCATCACCAACCTTCGATTGTTCTTCCGTGCCGGGAAATTCTTCAACATTGTACAAGCATATCTCAACTTGTAGTGGACTTTGTTGACTGCAATAAAAGCCGTTTAAATTTGCAGACTTTTCAAAATGTGATAAACGCCTTTTTGTCCACGAACCATGAGTTTCTGATTTTATGTAGTCGCAAAACCTTAATTTTTAGGCGAAACTTTACACTTGTCTCAGGATTATTTCTTGAAGAAAAAATCATGCATACCATTAGAGCGATAAAGTCTATTCTATAAATCTTCCAAATTCCCAACTTCTCGCGTAGTCGAAAAATTATCGGGACTTGTCGGGAGCAAAACCAGTATCGTTTACGCTGTTGAAGCCATTGAAATTGACGTTGGCTCGTGTTGATTGTTATCTCATTTCCATTCATTGTGACGAATAAGACTGTGTTATAAAATGGATGTATGTAAAAAGTAGTCAAATAGTTCATATATATTGTGAAGCCGGCCACCGAATGCTGACGGCATAGTAGTGTCGCGGGTGGTTTTTTTTCCCTGCCACATAGATTTCGAGATGTTCTAAATGGAAAAACTTAGCGCATGCATGCAGAACAAAAACCTACGAGGCATCCGGATTTACCAACAAAATACATAAAAAGGGCAAATTATAAAGAAAGCCCAAAAAAAGTAACGGAGTTGCTTCCTAGGGGTATTTGGTCCAGTACGAGTTGGTGTCCACTCATAACGAGCATGCAGAAAAGTTAAGCTTCAGGTAGTTGCGTGACTCGCACAAATTTAGGCGTCGGTCTGTACTAATATAACGTGATCGCTTGATTTGTTCAGATTTAGAAAAGTTTAATTTGGTGCCGGACTTCCTAAAAGTTGTCTTTCATTCAGTTGTGGTTGTCGGCACATTAAGATTCATGTTGGTTTCGTGATAGAGTGTAATTTTTGATAACGGGTTGAGAGCCTAGTGCATTTTTGGAAGGGACTGTATTGTTTCATAAGTTTATGTGTTGTAATTTCATGCACGACTGTGATCCACCATGGAACCACAATGTTTTCAGTATTTGGAGTTCTGTTTTCCAGCTTTTTCCGAGTCTGTTTCAGTAGTTTAATATCCTCCCTCTTTATACTATAACCGTGAATTTTCCTAGAAATTGAAAATACAATAACAGTCTATTACTGGTCAGTATTGACATTTATATGCATGACACTTAATGGTGGATACTGGTTTCGTGAGAACTCAATAATTTTTCGATAGCTTAGGCAGTTAGTGAGAGAACAACATCATGTTATTCTGCCGTGTACTTCAATGTCGAGTGTCAATGTGTAAGGTTTAATGAGCTTGAGGAACACTCCGTCCGAGAAACTTTTTTAAAGATAAACAGCTGTAGACAACAGCCTTTCTCGGCCTAAAACCGAGCCAATATATTTTTTTGGGTACGCTGTTGATTTAATACAGCGAGTATAACAAAAAGTTCTGTCGGTAAAATGGGCTACCAAGAAGAAAGTGTATTGTAATTCTCGTTAAATTTTTTCTAGAACAAGCGAAAGTGCTTTTGCACTTTGCTGATTAATGTTAAATCTCAATTTTGTTGTAAATTGATTTTTTCAGTCCATTAATTTACCACTTCATCATAGTATTGCCGCACATCGAAGCCTTTATACGAGTAGTAAAATTAATTTCTTTTCAGGTATGTCTTTACTATTACCGTAATCTAGTTCCACAAGCCGATCCTAACTATCTTAATGCCTTGTATGGAAAGTTAGCTAGCGAAATTCTCCTACAGGTCTGTGTTAGCTCAATAGTTTGCTTTTCGGAAAACTAGTTCCCACTTTTCATGCGTCGATTACTTGGCGTTTTTCTAGGAATGGGATCATGCTCGCGATGATTTGGTGAAGCTTCGTGCGTACATTGACTCGAATCCGTTCGATACTGAGTGGGAGCTGATCCATCAACGAGCTTGGCTTATGCACTGGGCTTTGTTTGTGTATTTCAACTATCCTAAAGGACGCGACGATATAATTGAGATGTTCCTTAACCAGCAATCGTATCTAAATGCAATACAGGTCGACGAATTTTTGATCCGATTTTTTTAGGTTGTGTTAACGCTGATTCTTTCAAGGTAATGTGTCCTCATCTCTTACGCTACTTGGCCGTCGCCGTTGTCACTAGCAAGAACAAACAGAAAAATAGCCTTAAAGATCTAATCAAAGTTATCGACATTGTAAGTTAGGGTTCGCCATACTTCTGGTCTACATTGTTTTAACCTATATGTCAAAAATTTACTAACATTAGCTTACTTAGGAACGTCACAACTACCAAGACCCTGTAACAGACTTCCTCACGTGTTTATATATCAAGCACGATTTCGACGAAGCACAGGAGAAACTACGACAGTGCGAGGAGGTTTCATTTTCAGTCATTGCTACATAACTTTCAATGTCATAGTGAACTAACGCCAGATTATAAGGTTTTAATTCTGTAGGTCTTGTCGAATGACTTCTTTCTTACTGCGTGCCTATCGGATTTCCGCGAATCTGCTCGTCTTCTGATTTTCGAAATGTTTTGTCGTATTCATCAGTGCATCAGTATCGAGATGTTAGCAAGAAGACTGAACATGTCTCAGGTTCCAATCTATATTATTATTCCACGATTTTTAACTATTATCCCTGTATGTATAGTTTATCACCACAACTTTGTTATGACTAAAATGAAATTCATATTCTTTAAAGCTGTTTAGAATTCCTCTTCTGGGATTTAAAAAAAATGATTTGGCTCATCAGGATTTTTACCCGTTATCAGGATTCGATTTCTCCCATCAATGCTAACATTTAGTGCAAAACGTTTATCGTTTTTCTGTTTTTCTTTTCAGGTAGAGGCTGAACGATGGATAGTGGATCTTATCAGAAACTATAGGATTGAAGGAGCCAAAATAGACAGCAAAATGGGTCAAGTCGTTATGGGCGTGAAAGCAGTTAGCATTCACGAGCAGGTATGAAAGTGTTTGTACTGCAATATCATGATGTGGATTTGTAACATACGTTTGCTTTCCTAGGTTATGGAGAACACAAAACGACTAACGTTAAGAGCGCAACAAATTGCTTTGCAATTAGAGAAGACCCGTGCTGAGCGGAAGCCAACGGCTTAGTTGCAATTTTTATAAGACCTTTTGGACCATTGTTGTTTTCTTAACTCTCATCAGATCCGGTTGAAAAATTTGCTTTTCGATCACTTTCTTCCTTCCCTAACTGGGTTCATGCGGTGTACGGTGATTGTTTAATTGTCTAACTGTTTATGAATCAACGCTCAACTACATAAAAGTTCATTCATATAGAAAGTACTGTATTTTGGATCTTGACAACCATTTTCACTGTTGTTACTGTAATATGTTATCTTCTATGCTAGTGTTTGGTCCTTATACTTCTTCTTAGGGTTAACTGTAATATGCCGCATTACTGAGCTAGAATATAAACTGATTGGGAATCACTTCAGCCATAAATTTTGAACTCGGCAGAGTAAAGCGTGTGTCATTTGTTGAATGCATTGTTGTTGTTATCTTTTCAGTGCAAACCAATCTACACTTCTAATGACATCCACACGTTTTGGTGAAATGAGCAGTGAGAAATAGCTGCTTGCGAAGGGTTGAACGTAAAGTACCTCAATATCGTCTAATCGTAACAGTTTTCGGAATTGTTCCCATAATCCTATTTGTATCAAGCACAGCTTTTCCTTTTGGGGATTCCCAGTAAACCCGAGACAATGGTTTTATGCTTCTTTCTTTTTTTTTTTTTTAGGAGAGCAATATGTGATCGTGCAAGTCGCACAATTACATCGCTAGTTTCTTCACTAGAGTTGCGCAATGGATTCATTATATTCATTTGCAATTTTTTCCGCCTAAAAAGATGGCATTGCGACATCAAAGATATAGTAACAACAATGGAAAAGTATAATGCTTATCAAACTGTTTATTTATGTGTGTTTGAACTCCGAAGGACAAAATGAGTGCCTATATTATATATGGGAGCATCTAGTACGACTAGTCAATGGTTTACTCACTCATCATAACGGGAGATGTTCTTGGGTGGTAGGATGTGATATAAATCTACACCCTAGTTCCGTATAGCATCCTAGGCTAAGTGATTAGACTTTTCTAACTGAGAAATCCATCTATGAGTGAACTAATACCAGGAATCACTTCTGCATTGTCATCGGCATAGATGCAAAGCCGGCAAGGTGGTAAACCACAACCTTCGATCTACAAATGCTGAAGAGTGTTCACGACAACGATTTAATAAAGGTTAGAGTATCCTGGAACAGCTTGGAAAGTTGGTGCCTTGATTTGCAATAAGTCGCCTTCGAACCTCTCACACTAGGTACCGCTCCCTACCACACTGGACGGTGAAGACGACTGCTGAGAAACGAACAAATCGCAGGTCGCATAGGATATTACTGCCCTGGACCAAAATACATCCGCTGTACCGCATAAATACTATCTCCGTACCTAAATAAAATAGCATGACAGTTCTCAAGCGCTCTCATGGTCACAACCGCAACACGAAGACATTGCTATTCCACCGAGCACTTATCACCAAAAGAGGTTTGATATAGCCACATTTTCTCCTACCTAAGCCTTTTACTGCAATACTGGTGATGAGGCTGATTGATTTGAATGAGAAAAGCTTGTGCATTAATGAAGAATTCTTATTAAGCCTTTTTATTATGAAAACATCGTCATATGCTCAAGAAGTGTCAGCGAAACGTGAACGGTGCTGTCCGAGGTGACGAATTCAAAGAAATCAGAAAAAATCCAGATCGAGAAAAGCTCATAGTGAAATGGATGGTTCTTCTATTACACAGATTGCATCGTTATATATATATATATATATATATATATATATATATATATATATATAT